ACTAATTTATGCAGCATTGCTGCAGCAAGTAGAAGCGCAGCAGCAAACTTCAAGGATTCTTCAGAATCGTGTCAATGGTAGTATGGAACCATATAGATCTTGGCGTACATTACATGGTAGATGCACGAGTTAACGCTCCATCAGCTCCACCGCCGCCGAGAAGGGAAGAGCAGCAGCAATCCAGAAAAGAAGAAGAGCCTCAGCCATCGAGAAGAGAAATCGAGAAGAACCATATTCTTGCCGCCTGTACTGGACAGAAGACTTCCATCACTGCATCGGCTCAATTTACACCTGAAGTCGACATGGTACGAGGGACCTTTTCAAGGGATGTGAATAAGTGGGGCATCAAAGATACTCGAACGACAAACGCAAATGAAGTGTTTCACAGGTGTGATGGATGAAGAGGTACAGTTTGGAAATGAGTGAGTACACGTTCTCAAGAAGTTGAGCACGCTGATCGAATGCAAGTGCCCCCTTATGTCGAGGCTGCTTGAAGAATTGACGAGCTGCAACACTAACGCCAAGGGAGACTTTCTCAACGTGGAAAGAGTGAGTTGCCTTCTCAGCTTCGACTACCCACTGAACGATGTTTTAGATGCCCAGATTGGAAGACGGTCAAGAAACAGGGATTTGAGAAGACGTGAGAAGATAATAGAGATGATGGCGGCATACTGAAGCGAAGAAACACATCCAGAATCAGTACAAACCAGATCATTAGATACTGCAGAAAGATGGCAACGTTCGTAACAAGCAAAAACAATTAAAGAAACGATAAAGCAAAGATATCATCTTTCTGCAGTGATTAATGGATATGATGTTGTTGTCATTCTTGCACACAGTTTCTTCAACCCAGTATTTTTTGCACAACAGCTATCATTTCGTTTTTTGATTTGCACAAACATTGCTACTTAATGAAGATTTCATCAACAACAACACTATACAACTGAAAAATAAACAAACGAAGTAACAACTACAACCGTTTCGTTCCTACCCTTAGACGGATACAATGTTAGG